ATTACACAGTTCAGTCTTAATATATTATGATGTCGAATCAGTTTAGTGCTATTGTTAAATATATGCAGATTTTTTTCAATTTCAACTAGTCCGATAAAGCATGAATTTGGTTGGTTCCACTGACTCAAATCCAAGAGATGAGCAAGTGAGTGGGAATTTTTAAGAATGCATTATCCCATAAGCAAATAATGCACAATTCAATTGCAAAATTTGAGTTAGCCAATGCTTACTGATTTAGTGTTTTCAATATCACTTCCAGTCTCTCTTAGTACCTTCAGACCGTTTTTAAATGAATGCAAGTGACTTCCAAACTTGGTAATTCCAGATTTTTAACACCTGGGGTCACAATAAATAATTAAAATAAATAATTCTATCAATAAAAATAATAAATTACTTGTATTATTAAGATATCCTGATTGTATTAGATTACAACAATTGACAAATATTGTACTTGTAGACAGAGAAGCAAGTAAGATTATTTCATCAATCTGCCAAGAAATGAAGAATTTCAGAATGATTCCTCAGTTGATAAGTGCTATTCACATGAGTATTCTTTGGGAATACGTTTTATATCTAGCTATCAGCTTACTTTTACTTCTATTCAGAAGGTTAGTAAGTTGAGATGAGTCGTAACACACTTAGTCCATGGAGTCTTTGGGGCTTTAAGGAAGCCAAACAGCGTGTATTGTTTCATTTTCGTCACATATAGGTTTATTCCTGGTAGAGTGGTAGATCCGTTTTTGTAGTGGAAAAGTCCCCTTTATTGGAGAGCGGAAATATTTGTTTACGGCAAAGACAGTCATCAAACAGAGATGAACATTGGAGATTTGATAATCTGAAGTTAGTAAGTTGTTACTAATATTTTGTCTTTGTTGCGGGTTTAAAGGAATAAACGTGGGAGTATAAGTTAGGACAGAGTTAAACCAAACTAATTAAGTGGTTGACAAGTTTGCATGTCTCAGAAAAATGAGGAAAAAAAAGTCAAATAGTATGAAATGTTCAATTATCAAGTCAAGGACTTAAAATACAGTTACTTCATATTCTCCCAAATTTATTGATTTCAATTTAATAAATTGCATATTTTACTGCAAATGTGTTTTCAAAATTAATCATACATAGATTTTAAAATTAATTACAAATGCTATTAAGCAATGTGGTGGTAATGCTAATATTGAATAGTTTCAGAAATCATTATTAAAAGTGTAATAAGGATCTTGATTTCACCCAGGCATTCATTAATCAAATCAAAGTTTTTAATTTGAGAAAATGGAGTTAAATGTCCCACTGCTCTGCAGCTCTCAGCGAGCCAGAAAGCGAACAAGACTCAAATGGAGAAAGTTTGAATTCAACTGGCTGATTGCCAAAATGAGGGGAGATTTAAATCAAGAAGCGGTGATTTCAATACAAACAAAAATGTATTATGAAATTTGATTTCACACAAATTATAAACGTGAAATTTCTTTCACAAAATATCAGTAAACGGGTTATTCAAACAGGAAATAGGTATGTAGTTATAAGTTTCTATTTATTTACACTTTCCTTTATGACTCTTAAGGAACATTGCTTCTTATTCTATTAATTATTGTCACCTTTAAAGCATTTTTAGAGATTTTAAATCGCTGCCAAAACAATACCTCTAAACGATTTCTTCAAAGACTTGCTAAATTAGCCGGAACACTTGAGCGAAAAAATGTTGTCAATAGACCACGCCTTTATTCCCGTACACAGGCAAGTCATAAGTGGTTAGTCTTTAAACTCCCAATCATATAAAATATTTTTTACAGAAATTATGGTGAGTGTGAATAGAAAGATTCAGAAAGATTCTTTTTAGGGAACATAAATTTTACAGTGATTCTGGGGTTGTTTGTTGAAAACGTCATTATAATTTTATTTGTAATCAAGTGTAGGTCCCAACTATGACGATCAAAATGAATCAACTTAACTATCTGAGATATTAGAGGGATTAGCGCATCATTAATAAAAGGAGCAATAAAACGGGTAAAGTTGGAGAAATTCGAAGGTGTAGAGAAATGGTCAATATAACAATGCTCATTTGAAAGTTGGTAAAGATGAATAAAGTGGACATTTTGTTAATTTGCGATCGAAACCTTTCTTAAACTTTGAATTACATTGTGTTCAAGGGGTGTGCAATAGACTTACCTCCATGTGGTACACCCTGGGCAACGTATACTCAAACGGCAAAACTAATAGTTGACTTCTGACTTCAAACTACCATGATCCCTCTGTAATGTGTGTTCGACAACTTACACAGTACTCACCTTACCTTTTGATCTACCTTTATTAGTGTCTCTTTTGCATCTGTGAATAACTCTTCTGTCCCCCCCCCCACCTCTCAAATTTTTTCCATTTTAATGTTACTCCCCTCTGTGAAGCCCGAAATCAGCTGAAGAGCTAATGTTAACTATCAAAACGCCTGTTATTTGATATAAATAATTAAATAAACGTTGTATTCAACAACTTTTGACAAATGTCAGAGTTTACATATTCATATATTTCATCCAAACAAAATTAAGATTACAGAAATTGTATTGCATTTTTCGAAATAAAGTGGGCTCAAATAATGACGATTTCATTAAAAGTGGAGGTATCTCTGGTTTTCATATCCCTCTCGCATTTTATGTTTAGTGTGGCTTAAAATACTTTCATTTACAAACAAAGGCAAATAAGATTTATTGCGGTGATAGCCTGATGATAAAGACACCATGATGTTTCACCTAAACTGAACTCCAACTAGAGTGACATCTTAAAAGTACGGTTGTCAGAAGTACCTACCTACGTTTAACCAAAATTTCGAGGTGATATGATCAAACTTGGTATGAAAATTTACCAATCAGAGAGCATCAAATATTAGGGGACAAAAGTCAAATCCATGAACTTGTATTCAAATAATGAATTTGGAGAGTGTGAACTTCATAATGCGATCGCTTCTTGTCAGGAGAATTATTATTGCTCCAAAATTAAAATTCAATGTTTCTTTGCTATTATCAACTCCTTTTTTGTTTCCATCATTCAAATAACTTGTCTATGAGTTTGGTTTTCCTATGCAAGTTATAATTGAAATACCTCTTTTCTCTTTCACTGTCCAAACTAAATGTTTTAAAGTGGCATTATTAAATAAAATATCTTGACCCTGTGAGACAAGTTATCGCTGTGTACGTCATCGTATGCCTGCATGTCTGCTCGCCAGGATTGGGAGGTGCGGCCGTACAACTCTGTGTGCAGCGACCGTACAAACAGTGACCAATCATCAACCTCTGTTTAACCTAATCTCCCATCCTGATCATGAGTAGCTCCCTGCGTATACACACAATGCGATCAATATACGTACTGAATCCCTGCGTGTGCACTTTATCCACAATATACTCTGTGTGTACACACTTGATCCGCAATATACGTCCTGAATAAGCGGGTACACTTGATCCGCAATATACGTCCTGAATAAACGTGACTTGATCCGCAAGATACGTCCTGAATAAACGTGCTCCGTGCACACTTTTCTGATCATTACGTGACTGAATATACGTGTTCCGAATTATCGTCTGTTTCCTTTATAGCTGGGCTATAGCTTAGCTAGTTTCGGTCTGTTTCCTTTATAGCTGGGCTATAGCTTAGCTGGTTCGTAATATGCTCACTGAATAGACGTGCTCCGTGCTACACGTCTGATACCCGTACTGAAAAAACGTGCTCCGTGCTACACGTCTGAATCCGTACTGAATAAGCGTGCTCCGTGCTACACGTCTGTTTTCCCGTATCGAATAAACGTATTCCTTGCTACACGTCTGTTTTCCGCTACTGAATAAATGTTCCGTGCTACACGTCTGTATCCTCTGTAGCTGGGCTATAGCTTATCTGGTTCTGGGAGTCTAGCTAGTGAGAATCTGCCATAGAGATTTCTAAGTCAGTCAGGCTTTACTTAGGGTGAGTCAGTCAGGCTTTACTAAGGTAGCAATCCGCTACAACCCTTTACAAAATAGCTCATGAGCGAGGCAATATCGAACTGCTCAAATTAGAGAGTGATTTGGTTAAAGAATAAATCAATCTAATTTACCATTCAGTTAATGATAAACGGGTGTTACCATTATACTCCCACGATTTCATAAAGTTTTTAACAGCCCACACAAGGATGTTTATAAGAACGTAATTTTGGTTTAATTAGACAAGAAATTCATCGTTATGAATACCAATGTCTGTGTTTTTCACAAATTTCCTTTCAAATCGATAATTTTAAGTGACAATACCATCAGATATTTTTTCAGTGTAATTTTCATATTCTCGTGGTAAAAATTTTACGTAGGCTAATTTGAAAAGTTAATGACAAAACTAATGAATTTTCGAGTACTTAGAAGAATTCTAAAATTTACCTTTCAGTGATTACATTTTGTTCTAACAATAATATTTCGACAACTTTCTAATAATATTTGCAACACTTATTTACTCTCTTTGTATGATTTAACTCTATTATTTAAATGAAATCTTTAGCTATTTGAATAACCATGAATTTTATTGCAGACATCATTGAAACAGCAATAATTGATTTGACTACACTCTTAACAACTATAAATATCAAAATTGACCTAAAAGTGACAAAACAGCAATACCATTATTAATATTGATATTATTGAAAATATTAATTAAATATACACTAGTTGTTTTAATGAAATTAAATTCCACAATCGGTGGAAATATGATAGTATTTTCGGTTGTTTTCAAATTTGTCATTAGAATTGAAATGGGTTCACTCTACATCGATACAGAATGTCACTTTCACTGTTGATCGAACAATCCGAGTAAAATTATTATTTTATAAAATTATAGTATTTGTATTAATTTTTAATTCATTATTTTGTCATTATCTTAAATCAGATAATTATGCTGAACTTAAATTCTTCGTTTACCGAAAATCAATAATGACATATTTAAAAGTTCACAATTATTATTAATTCATATCACAGAAATCGATAAATCTGTACAAACTTGTCTTATCGAAGTGGAATCTTCGAAACCGCTCGCCGTAGATCCACTGCACTAACTGAACGCATTCTTTTCACCGGAGAATTTTGCTGACTCACAAGAGGTGTTCTCAAAATTGGCATGTTGGGCACCGGGAGCTTTCCTGAATGATTGCTCAAATTTCTCTTGGATTCCTTCCCTTCCAGTCCCAAACACATTAAAATAATGTGTTTAGCTTCATCACGAAATAGTTTTCCAACAAGACAGTAGAATATCCAATTTGTGCAAGAATTTACGAAACAGAAGCTTCGAAAGAGGTAATAGCAGAATCGGTGGAGATGCTGATCAATTATGAATCTTCTACTACTAAAATTTCTGAACATTAAATATGTGAGGAGAGGGAATGTACTGGCCATATAGGTGATATTCATACAGACAAGAAGACGAGTAACATGTCCAAAATTGTCTGGTGCATTATGTCTACCACTGCTCTGTTCCGTGAGTTGTCGTTTTAATTTTGGAAGTGAGGGATGACTCTGAGAAGTCAGTGGCTCATTGGGATTGCACTCCGACAGCTGTAATTGATCAAGGATTCCTACTGAGAGTCTCTGGGTAGTTATTGTCGACTTTGACCTGGTGAACCTTTTTGGGGGGTTGGTAAGATTTAGTCTCGGCATAATATCGATTGCTCCAGGGGTTGTTAGTACGGAAAATTTACGCTTCCAGCTGGAATTTTTCACCCGACGACGCTTAAACTTTTTGCTTAATTTGGCCATATTCAAACATATCATAATAGTGGAAATAGTCATTATGAGTAAAGGTATAATGCCCCAGATTATAAGATCACAAAGGGTCATTACATGGAAGATGTCTTCAAAGGGGTCACAATCGCCGTTAATTAGTTTCCAATAAAAAAAATATGGAGACACTGGAATGATTAAGACAAGTGAAATTATAGTCCAGGCGATTATGTGACGTTTTGAGATTCCACCACGACTCCTGGCGTGCAAAGGTCTGAATATGAGATAAGCTCTCTGGATAGACAGAGCGGATTGCATATAAGCAGACCAGTAGAAGGCGTAGTTGGAAGAAAACTTGTGGATCTTGCAGATCACGTCATTCTGATCACGAACGTCGTAACCGAACCAGACTTTTAATAATATCCACACGCCCTCCAAAACTAATATGAAGAAGTCGCCAATGCAAATGCTTGAGAGCCAGAGAAGCATACTGGATTGGAAAAGTTTTGAGCAAAATAAGAAGAAGAGGCTGAATAATGTCCCCATCACCCCCAACACAATAGTGATGGGAACATACCAAATCAGGTAATATTTGCATAATTCCCCATACAGATACTCATACGGACTCTCTGTTGAATTTCCAGCAACTACTTCTGAAATATTACTCACGTTCATTCTGAAGGTGACATATTGGAATTCAACAAGTAACCCATTCACAATTAATCCGTATAGTGCGCAAAATCCATATGCTGTATGATGTATTTGTGACCATTCTGGTTGGCCAAACTGATAACCAATAGTAGGGTCAGGTTAATAAATTTCAGCCAATGGCGATTAGGAATTGCAGTGATCCACACACGCATCCAAAATGAGTGGGCTTTATAATGATTTTCTTGTTCTTTTATGGTGAGACAATTGAATCCGCAAATTCAATTGATTAATCAGAAGTTGATGTTTTCTTCGCTTTGCATTTGAAGAAAAAAAGTGGCTGAATCTTTAAATTATAACTGTCTAACACAAACAAATGTAATAGAGAACATTGAACAGTGAATCACTGGCAATAAAACGAAAGATATAAGTTTAAATTTCTTCTAAAGTTTGGTTCAATAACCTACCATATACTTAACTAGAACGTTAAATTCAATTGAAAATGAACCAAATATTGACCTTTTAATTTTTATTAAGTACTTATTAGCGTAAATATGGATTAATAGTGACAATGGGGATATGCAGAGACAGAAAGATTAGTATAAATTTCAACAGTATCAATTACATGATTAAGGTCAGGAAAATGTAAACAATCAGCCAATGTTAACAGGATTTACCGAGTAAATACAAAAATGGAGCAGCCTTAAATTGGGTTAACATCACATATATTATCTCCGTAATATATCAATCAAATAGCAACTAAGTAATAAATGTTTTAGGATATTTATTTATTTTAGATATTCCATTTGGATCTATGAAAGAGGAGAACGCTATTGAATAATGTTGAAGAAAAAGGAAAGGTGATTATTGTGGAAGTGTGCAAATACGGCATACAGGGTGGTGATGGTAGTTTGAAGTCAGAAGTCAACTGTCAGTTTAAAGACTTTTTTGCCGTATGAGTACACGTTGCCCAGGGTGCACCACGTGGAGGTAAGTCTACCCCACACCCCTTGTCAATAACATAGATCGCAATTGTACAAACCAAAATCTCTCTCCTCATAAATGATTTACTTTCCTCAAGTTTGTGAAACGTGAACCAATAACTTTTTAATTTTGGTTATAACATCACCTTATGGATCATAAAAGCCAGCTTATAATATTTTATTAGCCATTTTTGCTAATCATATTAATCTCGTGAGGGAATTTCATTGGAACGAAGTTTCACTAATCGGGACCGCTGTCAA